CAGGCAATCCACTCACCTCAGCCTCCCAAAGGCGCAGGATTACAGGCTGAGCCACCGCGGAGTTTTTTTTTTTTTTAATGGAGATTGTTGAGACATCATTTTGGGTAAACCTAGGGAGCATCACACATGGGCATTGATATTCAGAAAAGGCATTGACCTACAAATTAAAAGAAAAAAAGTTACTCACATGCTGTGCATCTCTTGCCACCTTATCTCTTCTGCTATTCATTTCACTGTTTTTCTGTGGGATCTGAATCTTTGCCCCTCCCTTCTCTGCAAGATTAAAATAAATCTATATTCCTCCCTTTTATTTCTGCGTACTGACCTTCAGATCTTTTTCTGTCATTTTTCAGCTTAGCGTTGAAACTCTTAGCAACAAGTTAGTCATTTAACCTTGAGTTTGGGAGCACTTTTGCATGCCGGTGCATATATGTGTTTGTGCATTTAAAAACATTGGGATTCTTCTTGAATTAAATAGATGAAGCATTTTAAACTATCAGCTGAAGAGAGATATCAGTTTTTTACTGGTTCCAATATGTAGCTAAATCCTAATTTTTGAGAAATATCAAATGGAAAACTCTAAACAGTCAATTGAAGATTCTAGCACTGCTCTGAAACTGTCCAGAAATAGTGTCTGCTCAGTAAAATCCATAATGTTTGAGGCCTTGGACAAGAGAGAATACTTTGAAATTTAGGCACATATTTGGAGGCTGGAAAAGGGAATAAGAAGAATGAAAGTCTAAAAAAAAAAAAAAAGTCTTGTTTTGTTTTTAGGTTCGCAGAAGCATAAAAGTGCTTAGGTGTTTGTTTTTACTTCTCCGTCAAACATTTTCTCAACAGGCTACAAACAGATACTGTCTACTTTTTGCTATTATTACCTAGGTTCCCAGGAAAAACTTAGTGTCAGTAATGACAGAATAGGATGTAATTGTAAGACTAAAGTTTAAACAAACCTCCTAGAAGCAGAGAGATATTTTCACACAGAAGAGGCAGCTTTTGCTTTTAAGGAAAACAGTGAAGGTAGAAGTCAATAATTCAAGAACATAAAGACAAATAAATAAGTGCTTTATTATTCTGGTTAATATAATTATCCACGGGGTGCACATTTCTCCTATAAATGCATATAAAACTTGTTTGCTGACCTAGTATTTGGAAAACCAACAGCCCAGTTAGAAGAATATCTTCGGTACTTATTTTTACCAGAAGGTCGATTCCTTTCCCAGTCCCTTTCAAAGTATGGTGTGAGTGGACAAGACTTTGATAGTCAAAGTAGAAAGTTGATTTAAATTGCAGAAATGTATATGAAACACTTTCGTTTCTTGCCCCTTGAACTTTAAGGGAATGAAAACGTCTAACACTCTCCACCTTCTTTTCTCTACTGGAACTTGAACTGTAATTTAAAGCCTGTTTTTCATTAAAGTACCTGGCAGCCTATCTCCTTACGGCTTTAGTTACAAAGCTATTCAGAGAACTCACCGGTCTAAAGACACAGAAGAGGGATGTGCTTAAATGGAATAGGGCACAGGCTGTTTAAAAAATAATGCTGAAAACGGTAAAATGGGTCTGTCCTTCCTTCCTTCCGTCCCTCATTGCCATGACCGAAACGGGCTCAAGTTGGTGAATATATACCCAAGTGACCATTGAACGTTCTCACCTTCTATCCAGGGCTGCCATGACACCTAGACAGAGTGGTAAGCGAGCATGGTAATGTTCTCTTCAGCCAGGGTTCCCCTGCAACAGGTAGCTTGGTGGAAGAGGTGGACTGAGGTTGGCAATAAAAACACATGCGATCTTTCTGGTTTGCAAAATGATGGGGCGGGGGAGTCAGATATGGAGGGCCTGGATTCTGGTACTTCTTAAGCACATAGAAGGCTGGTGAAAGAAGAAAAGGGTTGTGAGATGCTCCCCATCTAGTGTTTACAGAACTTGGACGCTTGACAAACAGTGCATCAAGCTAATTGTTCTTGAAGCAGGAAATCTGTAATGGAGGAAGCAGGTGTCGTGGGATGATTGCCGGGTTCTGAAATGACCGTATTCACTGTTTTGCTCTCCTGAGTTTGGCCCCAAAAAAGTCAGTCGGCTTGTGGGAAGATGCTGTCCCTTTTATCTGTAGACTAATGCAGAACCAGTCATTGGTGCAGGCGGGAGAAAGTGCTTACGTAACTGTGGAACCAGATAGCGTCCATGCGACAATGTTCCGATATCCATCTTTCTTTATTTCTTTTTCTTTTTCTTTTTGGCTTTCGGCATCCCATACTTTCAGAAAACTTGTGACTAAGAGTGAATTCTTATTTTTCAAATTGTTTTCAGACATTTCATGTTCATGTAAACTTGGCTTATTGATTTCCTGATTTTTTCCTTATTTTTTTGTTTTGTCCATTTTATTTTTAATCAGCTACATCAAATGGGTCTTTGGAGGGCCTGGATAACCAGGAGGGAGGGGTGTGCCAGACAAGAGCCATGAAGATCCTCATGAAAGTTGGACAAGGTAAAGACCACCTGCTGCTTCCTGAAGCCACTGTGATCTGGTGTAGCCCTTAGCTAGTGTGGTGCTAATGTCGGTGATTCCACCTTCATTCACTTTCTCTTTAGTTTTGAAAGCAAACCCTTCTGTGCACCTTGAGCCACTGACAGATTTCCTCACGTCAATATGCTAGCTTCTTTATTGGAGGTCTCTCTAAGAGTTGAGGTCAGTCAGGTAGAGTATCTATTGTCATATAGAGAGATAGAGAAAGAGATAGATGGATAGATGGATGGATAGATAGATAGATAGATAGATAGATTGATTGATTAACAGACAAATTTCTTTTTAAAAAGTAAAACACCTCTTTGGTCCAAAATTAGAATATCCAGAATGAAAATGAAAAGTTTCTGCAGTTTTGCTCTTTTCTGAATCTTGACTACAGAAGAGTTATGTTCACTGTGCCTTTTCCTATATAGATAATCTATTGTGCAGAAAGAAAGGATTATTCTTCTAATTAGAAATTGGTATAGTAGTCAATCAACTTGCTCAGTTAAATTGAAATGTCATCTGCAAAGCTTTGCCTGCCAAATGCAAGAATCCCTATAGCTTCCCCAGATGGCCTCACAATCTAAACCTCTGAAATAACTAGTGTAACCATTTTGTTTTAAAAGAAAAATTATATTCTTGTATTTCACAGTACTTTGCATAAAGAGTCTTATGTTCATTGCTATTCATGCCTCTTGAAATATACACGCAGCCATTAAAGCTAGATATCATCAGATGTCTGTGCTGTAATTAATCATTTGTTTTTCATGTAGATGCAAGTTCTGCTGGATCAACCAGGAATAATGATCCAACAAGACGTCCAGATCTAGAAGCTGGTACCAATGGAAGAAGTTCAACGACAAGTCCCTTTGTAAAACCAAACCCAGGTATAGCAGCATGATCTGTGTGCCTGTAGGTCTGTGGGTACCACGTTCTTAGTAGTGTCTCAAGAGGTAGCACTGAGTGCAAGTAGGATTGACTAGGAGTTACAGCCATCAGTAATCTTCACTCTCAGTGAGGGAGTTGCTATCAGTTACCCTCAGTAAGGACAAAATCATTCATACCCATGAAAGTCCTCCATTCAAGAGTGGAATTCACCAGATGTAAGTGTCAGTTATTAGTACTACTCTGTCAGACCAAAGTTTTCGTTGGCTGACATTTTATCAAGCGGGTTGTCAACACCAGCTTAATGCTGATGTGAATGTATATATAATTAATGTGCTAATCCCTCATCTAATTATATCTAATCCACCAAGAGCCTAATTGATCCTCTTCTAAATTTTAGATAGTAACATTTAAAAATATTGCATAATATGTTTTTTGGGGGCGGGGGTTATTGTTAACTTTTCCCCCACATTTTCCATGTGAAATAAAATATTAAGCAGATCCCTGACAAAAGTGTAGAATACCAGATGAAATTGGCTGTCATGAACCTTTGCTTTCCTTACACTCTTGGAACAAATAGCTGTGTATTTGTTACCACGCTAATGATTTTTTTTTTTTTTTTTTGGAGAAAGCAGGATTTATTGAGAGGACAGAAAAACTCCCACAGTGGGAAGGGACCTGAAGGGGTTGCCCATGAATTTTTTATATGGTAAACGCAGAGCAGACATCAGCAGTTTCGTGTTGGGGATCTGTGTGCCGGGTGGGTAGCTGCGTGAATTTAGCAGCTGCAGCAAGATGCCATCTCTTTCCACGAGTCAAGGAGGGAAGTGGTTATTTCTAACTTCCAATGACAAGATGTATCAAATCCTTGTGACAAACTGATAAATGAATAATATAATGATGCCAGGCAGTTTTTTAGTACTTAACATTTGGGCTGGCAGTCTGTTCAGTGTGAGAGTTTCTGCCGCCTTCCAAATATATTTTAAGTGTAAATCAAATAATACAAGCGAGTTACAAGCCGAACATCTTCCCAGGCCCCACCACGCCCTTCCCTGTCTGCGCTGTCCCCGCTCTTTTTTGACAGAAGGTAGACTGTTTGAAGGCTCACATGAAACACCATTTCTAAAAGGCAGTGGAAAAGCAGGGCGGCAGGAGTGCTCAACTCTGACCTGCAGACTCGGCCACTTCATTGTTTTCCTACCTGCCGTTGCCCCAGGGTGGCGACCGCAGGTGAGAAGATAAGCAAGATCAAGGGCTGGCTATCATTGACAGTTGTGCTCTTGATGGATGATGAACCACAAAAGGAAGCCATGTGGCATGGGATAGCGTGAAAGCCTGCCTAGAGATGCCTCCCATTCCATACCAATCGCTGATGTCTGCATTTGCACTGAGCTCTTGGACGGGGTCCTTGGCTTGTCAGGTGCTAGGTGCCGGTTGGGTCTTTGGCCCAGCTGTCACCAGGGCTGGAGTGCAGTGGCACAAACACAGCTCACTGCAACCCCGTTCTCCTGGGTTCAGGCAATCCTCCCACCTCAGTCTCCCCAGGAGCTGGGATGACAGGCACGCACCACCACATGAGGCTGATTTTTTTTTTGAGTTGGAGTCTCACTCTGTCGCCCAGACTGGAGTGCAGTGGCCGCTCCCGGCCACCACAGCCTCGACCCGCTGGGCTCCAGCGATCCTTCCTCAGCCTTCCAAGTAGCCAGAATTACAGGCATGCGCTACCACATCCGGCTGATTTTTTGATTTATTGTAGAGATGAGGTCTGGCTGCCCAGGCGGGTCTCGAACCCGCGGGCTCAGGCAATCCACTCACCTCAGCCTCCCAAAGGCGCGGGATTGCAGGCTGAGCCACCGAGCCTGGCTTGAGGCTGATTTTTAAAAAAATTTTGTTGACCAGGCTGGGCTCAAGCAGTCCTCCCAAAGTGCTGGGATGACGGGCGTGAGCCCCCACACTTGGTCAAGTCGTCTCCCTTTTGCGGGTCACACGAGCAGCCCGGCAGCACGGGACGGCGATGACCCCTTCTGTTCTTCTCTCCCTTGGTGTCTGCAGGGTCCAGCACGGACGGCAACAGCGCCGGACATTCGGGGAGCAACATCCTGGGTTCCGAAGTGGCCTTATTCGCAGGGATCGCGTCAGGATGCATCATCTTCCTCGTCATCATCATCACGCTGGTGGTCCTCCTGCTGAAGTACCGCAGGAGACAGCGCAAGCACTCGCCGCAGCACACGACCACGCTGTCGCTCAGCACGCTGGCCACCCCCAAGCGCAGCGGCAACAACAACGGCTCCGAGCCCAGTGACATTATCATCCCCTTAAGGACTGCGGACAGTGTCTTTTGCCCTCACTACGAGAAGGTCAGCGGGGATTATGGGCACCCGGTGTACATAGTCCAGGAGATGCCTCCTCAGAGCCCGGCGAACATCTACTACAAGGTCTGAGAGAGGCCCTGGCGGCACCTTCGCTTTCCCAGAGGAAACTCACTGTCCCAACGCCTCCTGTTGAGGGTTTCAAACGCGAGCCTGGCCACTGACTGAGACACGGCCCCTGGGGGAGAGGGCCCGCCCCTTCTCGGAAGAGCCCCGTCCATCCGGACAGCTTACCTAGTCTGTAGCATTTCGGCCTTGGAGAACACAGCACTCACTGGAAGCTGGAAGACTGTGGGAGATCCCCGTTGGGACCGCTGGGCGCGACCCGCGTCGCCTCCTGGAAGCCATGTGCGGCGGTGGCTCGGGCCTCTTCGCAAGCCAAGGGAAGGCGGTGGTTTGTGGACCGGAGAGCCGTGAGCTTCCCGGGCAGGTGGCCCCAGGGGTCCCAGAAGGCCTCGCCGGGAAAGGCCGGCTTCTGCCTGGGACGTGTCTCCCCCGCGGTGCATACTGGACTTGTCCCACGGACCTCGGGCTAGTGAAGGGTTTCAGAGATCTCTAGCGTGTAGTCCTCACTGTCTCACTCCTTCTGTCACCCAGGGCCCTGCAAGCGCCTCACCTGGGCCTCCTCCTCACCTCCACGCTCCGCACCACTCACGGACACACTCGGCTGGGGTCCCCTGCTCCAGCCGCTGGTAGCAGCAGCTTCCGAGGAACGGGATGATCCGTTTCTAGAAATAGTGTTTGCTAGCAAGGTGCTCTTGAGACAGAGGAGAAGCTGTCTGCCCTGGAAGACTAGGAGCGGGTGGGGGTGGGAGAGGGCTGGCTGCAGTGGCAGAAAGTCAGAAAGGAAAACAATGACAACCACAATAACAATTAGGTCGCACAGCACTTTGGTTTTGCTAAGATCTAAGAGGCAAGTAGGCGACACAGCCACACACACACACAGTGGATGACGGTGCACTGGGGGGAAATCACTGTTATCAAATAGCGCGCAGGACAAAGAAGTCCCTCTTCATTCCGTGGAACAAAGGGGGATACTGTTGGGAAAGGAGCAGGCTTGGAGGGAAGGGAGACAGGAGCTACTGGTGATCTCTTCGGGCAGGACTGTCGTGGTACTGGCAATAAGACATACAGCTCTGACGCTGTAGAGAGTCGGTCTGCTGGGGACGGTTTGTTTCAGCAGACTCAGCTGCTATACTTATCACATTTTATTAAACACAGGGAAAGCATTTAGGAGACGAGCAGAGAGCCAGATCTGACCTAGACGTGGAAAAGCCAGAGGTCAAACAGGCTGTAATTCCATCACCACTGAGGGTCTGCAGGAGTTCTCATCTCTAAAGGGTAGGTCAGATCCCCCCCACGTCCCCCCTCCCCGATGGAGCCTTATGACACTTGGGTTTATGGTGCAGGGGCCGTGGGCTCGGTACTGATGGTGGCCGTGGCACCCGGCGCTCTGTGTCAGAGGGAAGCACACACGGCAGACCTCTTGGGGTCCTTAAGACGGAGGTAAATTATGACGTCGAGGGGGAGAAGGAAGCTAGGACGTATTTATAATAGGTATATAGAACACAAGGGATATAAAATGAAAGATTTTTACTAATATATATTTTAAGATTGCACACAGTACACACCAGAAGATGTGAAATTCATTTGTGGCAATTAAGTGGTCCCGATGCTCAGTGCTTTAAAAAAACAACAACAAAAACAAATTGGACAGCTACTTCTGGGAAAAACACCATCGCTCCAAAAAGAACAATAATGAGAGCAAACACAAAAATAACCAAGTCCTCTGAAGGCATCTCACGTAACTGTAGACTAGGAAATACAAGCCCCAAATACCAGGAAATCAATGTTACTGCATCCATGTTTAACAGTGACAAGATGTTCCGACATTTATTTTCTGCGTTGGGTTTTCCCTTGCCTTATGGGCCGAAGTGTTCGCTAGAATCCAGCAGGTCACATCGAGGGGGCTTCAGGTGACAGTGTACCTCTGGCATCCTCCTCCTGCCCCCCCACCATCCCCTCCCTTCTGGGAAACAAGAAGAGTAAACAGGAAACCTACTTTTTATGTGCTATGCAAAATAGACATCTTTAACATAGTCCCGTTACTATGGTAACACTTTGCTTTCTGAATTGGAAGAAAAAAAAAATGTAGCGACAGCATTTTAAGGTTCTCAGCCCTTTAGTGAGTACCTGCAAAAATGAGTTGTCACAGAAATAAATATTCCCTATTTCCTGAACCTGGAAATGATGTTGGTCCAAAGTGCGTGTGTGTATATGTGTGAGTGGGTGTGTGGTATACATGTGTACATATATGTATAATATATATCTACAATATATATTATATATATCTATATCATATTTCTGTGGAGGGTTGCCATGGTGACCAGCCGCAGTACATATGTAATTCTTTCCATCGCCCCGGCCTCTTCCTCACGTGCATTTGTGCAAGATTTTCTTGTAAGCCATCAAAAGTTCCTTTTAGGATGGGGGAGAGGGGCAAGAAGGGGGGAAAAAATGGGAAAGGGTCTGATTTTAATGAAATCAAAGGTATGTGTCATCAGTTGGCTACATTTTGGTTCTATGCTAAACTGTGAAAAGTCAGATGAACCGCCGAGGAGTTACCTGCGACCAGTTGAGAAGTGTTCTGTGCGTCTGTTTTGTGTCTGGTGCAGAAGATGACAATCTACCAACTGTTCCTTTATTTGAAGTTGGTTCAGCTCTGGAAAGTTACTGTAAATGCCTTGCTTGTATCATCATCCCTAGTCACCCGACTTTGGAATTTTGCACCACCATGTTTAAGTGAAGATGCTGTAAATAGGTTCAGATTTTACTGTATATGGATTTGGGGTGTTACAGTAGCCTTATTCACCTTTTTAATAAAAATACACATGAAAACAAGACAGAAATGGCTTTTCTTATCCAGATTGTGTACATAGAGCAATGTTGGTTTTTTATAAAGTCTAAGCGAGATGTTTTGTATAAAATCTGAATTTTGCAATGTATTTAGCTACAGCTTGTTTAACGGCAGTGTCATTCCCCTTTGCACTGTAATGAGGAAAAAATGGTATAAAAGGTTGCCAAATTGCTGCATATTTGTGCCGTAATTATGTACCATGAATATTTATTTAAAATTTCGTTGTCCAATTTGTAAGTAACACAGTATTATGCTTGAGTTATAAATATTTTTTTCTTTCTTTGTTTTATTTTAATAGCCTGTCATAGGTTTTAAATCTGCTTTAGTTCCACATTGCAGTTAGCTCCAGAAAATGAAATCCGTGACGTCACATTCCACGTCTGTTTCAAACTGAATTTGTTCTTAAAAAAATAAAATATTTTTTTCCTATGGAAAAAGCGCCTTCAACGTATTTTCCTTTTCTTCTTTTTTTTTTCCTTTTCATTTTTCTTTCCTTTTGGTTTATTATTTTAATTTGCCTCCTTTTACTCTATTCCTCAAAAATTACAGTTATCCAGAGGCTTCTATCTGGGGACACCGCGTGGTCACTTTTCAAATGAGGACACGCACATAGTATGAATATTAATGTTGCCAAGAGCCATGAGTCCCCATTTGTGTTCCCGTAAAACCATTGAACTCACATTTCACAAATAATATAATAAAGTCTTATAGAATCCTAATCATCCTCAACGGAAAATGTCTCTAGCTGTGCCTGGGCCTGCTCAGTCGGAAGAGTTCCCTACTAAGTTAGCTGTGATGGGAAAAAGAGGGAAATGGACTCTTACCCTTAATTCCAAATCGACCTAGTTTCCATTTAGGCAGAGTAGTTTGCTATCTGCCGCTTCATTTTTCTTCACAGAATACTCTCAGGGGGAAGGAAAAAGTCAGATGTTTTTGGTAAAAATGTAACATTGGTGAAGGTGCGTGTTGTGATAGCTGAATAAAGGGCGAGCCAGAGGCCAGCTGTGAGTCTCACCATGTTTCCGATGCTCATCTTCCTGGCCAAGGTGGTTGTGTGTCCTCAGGGCTGGGGGCATTTTCCAGACCTCTTGTAGTCTCGCGATCTTGAGATTGATCAATGTCCTCTTCTGGGGAGTTTTTAAAACCTCCAAGAATCCCACTGCAGCAGAGCACTTCATCAGCCTCCAGATCTGAGTACTAAGATCCCTCTCTACAAGATCTTGGGTTAATCCTCACCATAGGGAGTGAGATTTTAGGTAGGGAGGATAAGAAAGGACCCTGAAATCAGGAAACAAACCAGAGGATTTCCCAGATCTGATTTGCCCAGGGTCACACCCCAGTGAGGCTAAGAAACCAACCATGTATGTTTCAAAAGCTCCCAGGAGATGTTGACAAAAGGCTGGCCTGGGAACCAGGGATATGCAGCTTAGGGCAGTACTGGTACTAAAGGAATGTTTGTTACATAAATGCTTTCCTTCATGACAGCAACAACACCACAACACCGAGCACTTCCCGGAGGTCCATGGTTTTCACTGGTGCCAGAACAGTAGTGCCATCCATCCCAACATTTTATCCCGATCAACCTGGCTGCCCTCGGTGGCAGATCTAGGTTTAGGGGCACAATTTACAGTCAAGTAACTTAACTGAACACTTCACTCCACGTACCAAGATCACTTCTGATTCGTCTGGGTAAAAGAGGCACAACAGTGAAACGATGCGTTTTCCATGTTTACTCCGTGGCCTCTATTTCAACGTAAATTACCAAAGACACAATGTCATCGTTTCTACCTTGTTTTGGAGACCTCGTTTTCCAAAGGGAGTAAGTAAGCCAAGTGAGGCTAAGAGAGGAATAAGATGTGACCAGCTGTTACTCTTTTCAGCTGGGAAGAAGGAATCTCACAAGCAGAAGCTTCTTGCTGAGACTGTAGATCCAGACGCTCTTTGTTCTGTCTGAAAGGTAAGCCCCACCCACTGCTGTAAGACCCCTGCTCTGCCTTACCCTGTGATGTGTCAGCTAGCAGCTGCCCTGGCCTCTTCGGAGAAGCTCTCTCTATTGTCTGTTCCTTTTCTGGTAAAACAGATGCCCATTCAAACCCTGATAAAGGTTCACAATGGATATGAAACCAAAAAAACCCAAAAAATATTCTTCGATGGGTAACACTTGTCCATTTTACTCTCAGCCTCTGGACACAACCCAGAGGAGAAGCAGCAAGAGAAAAAACAAAAAAAAATCCCGAGTAGTAAAAATCACTTTCCTAAAACATGTTTAAAAAGGGACAATTACCCTACTTTTTGGTTGGGTGGCCAATTCGTCCTCAGCTGCATCTAAAGGAGACATAATTTCCACCCCAGTACCAAGGACACTAAGTTGAATGTTCTGCTTCAATCATTTGTTTTTATTTTTGTTAGATTTGGATTATGTTTGTGACATTTACACTCAACTTACTTGAAGGCAAATTTTCAATGTTGTAGTGGAAAAAGGGTGTTTCCTGCCTCTACTCATTATTTTAAGTAGAGAATCATGCATCAGTCATTTAAGGGAAGGGGTGTTAAAATACTGCATAAAATATAGCAAGCCAGGTAGATGAATCAATTTTTTGTAACCTGTTCCCCAAAAGCTAAAGATACATTCAGTTCAGGATTTTTATACTTTGATAAATTGATCAATGGAATCTTTTAAAGATCATTCTACCTATGAAGTCAATTATAATTTTTAAAACAGGCAGGGTTAAAAAAACAAATCTCAGCACTTTGGGAGGTTGAGGTGGGAGGATTACTCAAGACCAGTCTGGGCAACATAGCAAGACCCCTGCCTCTACAAAAACAAACAAAAAAAATATTAGCCAGGCATGGTGGTACGTGCCTGGAGTCCCATCTACCGAAGAGGCTGAGGCAAGAGGATCACTTGAGCCCAGGAATTTGAGGCTGCAGTGACCTAAGAAGATGCCACTGCATTTCAGCCTGGCAACAGAGTGAGAGCCTGTCTCTTAAAAAAAAGAAAAAAGTGGCCAGTCATGTTGGCTCAAGTCTGTAATCCCAGCACTTTGGGAGGCCGAGGTGAGAGAATTGTCTGAGCCCATGGTTTCGAGACCAGCCTGGGCAACTTGTCGAGACCACATCTCTACAATAAATTTTAAAAAATTAGCCTGACGTGTTGGCACACACCTGTAGTTCCGGCTCCTTGGAGGGCTGAGGCAAAAGGATCACCTGAGCCCAGCAAGTTGACCCTGGGGTGGCTGTGAGCATGCCACTGCACTCCAACCTGGGTGACAGAATAAGACTCCGACTCAAAAAAAAAGAGAAAAGACCAAACAAAAAACCAACCAATCCCCTCAAGACACCTCCAGGGAAAGATGACTAATTATATCAACACAGAGTCTGGCCAATTGTCAATAGTTCATAAATGTGCTAAGTGAATGGCAGGGGAGACCTGGCTCCTGGCTCTGTTTTTGCAGTGTCCTCATGCTGTGGCCTATGCTTTCGTGTTCCGTAACTCAGCAACCTCACCTGAGAAGTGAGAGGGATGGACTCAAAGCTCTTCAAGGTCACTCTGGGCTTTTTGCAGGATTTGAAGCAGCCATTGCCATTTTTAGCAGCATCAAAGGCTCTCGATGCGAGCCTCTGTGTGTCCCCGTGTCCCACAGACAAGACTCTGAAGTCCAGTGAGAAGCTTCCAGCCAACTCCCCACCCCTCTCTCTGCTTCCTCTGTCCCTCCTCCCATGGCCTCCACCAAGAACCGGCTACCCCAGCTCTGAGCTCTGCCGCTTTCCACCCCTTGCTGGAATCAAAATCCTAGAAACCCTAACTACTATCTAACAATGAGCACACAATGATGGAGCCCTAGGAGCTGGACGCTTGGGCTGCCAGCCCTTGATCGCTCATTGTTAAGCAAAATCTTTTTATCTTTCTTTAAAACATTTTCAGGTCACTGCAAGCAGAGTCCTAGCACATCCAACACCTCCTTCTGCTTGAATTTGTTTAGAGTCTGAGTCTCACCCAGGCTAGAGGGCAGTGGTACAATCACAGCCACCCCAGCGTGGACCTGCTGGGTTCAGGTGATCCTCCCGCCTCAGCCTTCCAAGTAGCTGGAACTATAGGTGTGCACTACCACGCCCGGCTAATTTTTTGATGTATTGTAGAAATGAAGTCTTGCCAAGTACCTAGGTCGGTCTTGAACCCCTGGACTCAGGCAATTCTCTCACCTCTGGCCTTCCAAAGTGCTGGGATTACAGGCGCGTGCCACCACGTCTGGCTAATGTTTTGGTTTATTGTAGAGATGAGGTCATGCCGAGTTAGCCAGGCTGGTCTCAGGCAATCCTCTCACCTTGGTCTCCTGAAGTGTGGGGATTACAGGCAAGAGCCACTGCGCCCAGCTACTTGAGTATTTTATAAGGACCCACCATGAGCCAGGCAATGTGTTGGGTGATGGAGGTTTTCACTTCCTCCAGTTAACTTAATCCAACTTTACTTTCTCTTCTGGGGAGTAATTTACCTAGTAATTTACCTTTTTTCATGCTGGTATCTGGAACACGTTCTTATCCCCTTTTTTGTAATTTATACCTCTAATTCTGTAGTCTGTGACAGAGAACTCCATAATTAAAAAAAATATTTTAGTTGATCATAGAACTCTTATTTCTTAACTAAGTGCCGTTCTGTTTTTAAAGGAATGATGACCTTTAAAACGACCAAGAGCAGTACGGGAGATCAATGTTATCGAAGAAAATTGCTTAAAATTGACTGGAGTATTAGCTGAACACTACAGGATCCCAGGCATGTCATTTTTGTGCAGTGGCTTCAAAAGACAACATTAAAGGAGGAAAAAAAGGTAGCAGGAATTAACTTCTATCTCTAGAATCCATCAAGTAGGAGGAAAATGCCACAGGAAGGGCTCCCAGCTTGCCACAACTTCCACGGGGCCTTAGGTATTTGGTCTCTTAGCTCTTTGTCAACTGAGTATCCACATGGAACACAAGATGAGAAAAAGACGTGAGAGAGGTTTCAGCAAATGTAACCAGAAACGTTTTTGCTGGACACAAATCATTCAGTATAGCTCAGATGGCTTTACGTACTGAGAAAGCACACAGCTTCTGGGATCTGGGACATCACTCTCTGGAACTGCTGTGTCTTTGTGTGACCCAAGGCAAGCCACATAGCTGCTCCCGCTCTGAGGCTGACCGCCTGTAATGTGCATTCCTCTGGATGCTTCTGGAGACTTCCCAAGATGTAACTCAGTTACACGCATCTCGTTTTGAAGTGTAGCTTACAAAACACAGCAAACCCCAAAACAGTGTCTCGTTAGTTTACTGGCCCAGAACACTTAAAGGTAAATAGAGGGATAGAGGGTCATGATACAGAAAGAGCAGAAGCAGCACTGGTCTCAGCCACCCTCAGTCTCAACCTTTTTTTTTTTTTTTTTTTTTTTGAGTGGGAGTCCCA